AAAAAAAAAAAAAAAAAAACAAAGAAAAGCAGAAAATAAGTTACGTATCTAAAGTGACAGTGGCGGGGCTGGGATTTGAATTCGGCTCTATGGGACGTCACAGCCTGTATTCTTCTTTCCACTGGACTCTCTCAGTCGTGGATTGTTAATCTTGGCTGGCAAAATGGACAAGCATTGTTCAGCAATAAAGGGTAAGCATTTTCCTAGTTAGTAATTATTTTTCGATCGGTCATTTTCTAAATATGTTGCTTTTATTTAATCGTATGTTAATCAAACTTTATCAAATAAACCATTTTGGCTACTTTAAAATTTTGATCAAAGGAATAAAGATGATGATTATGAGTTATAATATACCTAGAAATCTAAAAAGGATGCATCTTTTTTAGAGTGTAAAATGAATTTCAAACTTATAAATATCATATTTACCTTTATTTAAGTTTCCAGCGTCTTGGACAGAGGTGTTATTGAACACAATTTCTTGTCTGCAAGCAAATTATATAACATTACCTTTGAAGAACTTGGAACTCTTCTAGAGATCCCTGCAGCTTAGGTATTTTCTTGATTCTAATATATAAAAAGGAAGTTAGGAGACAAAATTATTGAAGTAATGAGAAAATAAAATATATAATTGATAAATATTGGCAACTACAACAAAAATTACACTTAAAGGGCCTTTAGCAAATGGAAATAAATAATTTAAATATTAAAATAGTAGTGTGATGAAATTGTCTTAGTGTTTTTGGTTTTTCAAATTGTGTTTGATGATAATTTCTAGAATGGAAATCTTAAAGGAGTTCCAGGTTATGACACTCATTTTGTAAGAATATCTTTGTTTAGTGTCTGTTTAAATCTACCTCACAGTGGTTTCTGATACATGCTTTTTATGCCCTAGAGTGATTCATAAGATAAATATTTCATCTCTATGAGAGAATGACTACGGTAATACCCCAGGTATTATAACTTCTGTACTTGATTTAACTTAAAAGTCGACTGACTTACTAGGGAATTAAATTTCATTCTTTGTCTTGGGGCTTGGTTGGCTAGGTATAAATTTTAACAAAGTACTAAGAGTATTTAGAGGATGTTTCAAGTATCATTTAGAAAACATTCTCTTAATTTGAAATATTAAAAGTCAGCAATCAATCTTACTTTTACCTAACTTGAAAACCTGAAGTCATGCAATTATAGATCACATTCCCTTTTTATCTAGTAATGCAATTTTATTTTCCAATAATTCCTTTGTGTATGTTCAACACAGTAAATACACAGTAAAGGAAGGGGAACAATTTGGGAATCAAGGCGTACATTACCATTCAAAGATGGTTTCTTGGTCTGGCTGGTTAGCTCAGTTGGTTGGAGCATGGTGCTGATAACACCAAGGGCCAGGGTTCGATTCCTATGTCAACCAGCTGCCAAAAACAAACAAACAAAAAACAAACAAACCAAAAAGATGCTTTCTTCTTAATCTTTGAGGTATGATCCTTCAGTGAGACTAGGGAAAGTGAATACACTTTTAGAAATAAAAGCTAGTCATGATCTGTTCAGGAGTGATTTGGGGTTGCTTGTGGAGATGGTCAGAATTAATAAATGACTAAATCACAATCCAGTTTGCTTACACATAGTAAACATTAAATATGTCTTCAGGAGCTATGTCGAGGACCTATGTCTTCAGGAGCTATGTCATCACAATCCAGTTTGCTTACACATAGTAAACATTAAATATGTCTTCAGGAGCTATGTCGAGGACCTTTTTCTGCCCTTTGATTTTTAAATCCTTTCAATTCCTTTTGAATTTGAACATCTATTCCTCCTTTCAATTTTTTCTTTAAAAATAATTACTTTCTTAAAGAGTTTTTGGGGTGATATATGCTATGGAAATTGGAATGAAATAAAATAAGAAAATCTAGTTTGTTTTTTGAAGTGTGGATCACAGGGAGAAGAAAAATTGTTAGTTTTATTTTGAGCATAGAAGAAAATTGGTAAAAGAGCTAAATTTTCTTGCCCAAGATCTCACAAGAAAAACAGATCTCAATTAACTTAAAATAATAGGTTGTACCCAGAAAGAATTAGGGAAATAGGTGGATTTACAATATTTATTCTTCTAATGAATGGCAGGTGAATGCATATGTAAGGCTTAGTGATGGGTAGTTAAAACAAAGGCTTTCAATGCTCTTATCATATGTGAATAACTGTTATACATGATACAGTTTCTAAGAGTGTGGGGGTTTTTTTAATAGGCAGAAAAGATAGCATCTCAGATGATAACAGAAGGACGTATGAATGGATTCATTGACCAGATTGATGGAATAGTCCATTTTGAAAGTAAGAGGTTTTGTATTTCTTTCATAATGAAATGGCAGTGAACTGTTGTATATTTGTGATTAAAATATGAACACTTTTCATGACACAGAATCTTACTATTGGAAGGAGTTTATTTACAAAAAATATATATTTTGAAGAAGTTATAATCACGAATCTACTTAATGCAGCATTTCTTCTTTTCTCTTTTCTTTTTTGGGCAGCTGGCCAGTAAGGGATCCAAACCCTTGACTTTGGTTATCAGCACCTAGCCTAACCAAATGCGCAACCCAACCAACCCAAAGATGCACTTTTTTTTTTTTTTGGCAGCTGGCCGGTTTGCGTATCCAAACCCTTGACCTTGGTGTTATCAGCACCATGCTCTCCCAGCTCAGCCACCGGCCAGCCCTCCATTTGTTATTTAGGTTAACATTATCATTAAGATTCAATTATTATCTTACCTTTAATGATATCCCACGCAGCTTATGAAAAGATGAGGAGAGTGCAGCCTCTTTACAATAAGTGTGACTCTTGGGTAGGGGCTTCAATTGATTGAATTGCCCTAGGCTCCCACACCCTTATAGGGATAGCCCTGCTTATCACTAACATATGTTTTCCTTATTTGTAATGTGTATCTTGTTTACTGTCTCTCTCACTAGAAGGTAAGCTCCGTAAGGGTAGAGAGTTTTGTTGCTTTTGCTCATGACTAAATCCTCAGAGCTTTAGCATAGTGCCTAGCACATAAATTTTCAATAAATATTTGTCGACTGAATAAATGAACATTGTATCTTTTTATACTATGAAATCCTTGAGGAGTTTTTAATAAAGCTAGCTAATAATATATTTACTTTTGGATCACTTACCAGGGCCATTGCCTATCGCAATGCTTTGCATAAAGTTAAATAACCAATCAATATTTATGTAAAGGAATGGATAAAAAAGTAAAAATCTAGTAGCATTTTAATCATGTACCCAGTCAAGACAAATATTACAGAAATGAAAATTGTGTCTGTCATTCATTTATACAGAGGGGTTTTTTTGTTTTTTTTTTTTAAAGCATTGCAACTGTGAGTCCTGTTTCAGGAATGCTTCTCTGCGGGGGGGAGGGGGGGGCATTCTTTGTGGGCTTCACTTTCTAGGTGATGTTCCTGTCTCCCTAGAGGTCTGTCTCAGTTATTCCTGCTTCAACTCCTCCTTCACCACATTGGAGCCTCTGGTCCATTTCTTCCAGTCAGCACAACCCTCTTTTGTCTTTACTTCTCTTCCTATTTGGATTGGATTCTGTCATCCATCACTTTTTTACAGGCACCCCAGAACACTTGCCTGTTGAGTTTTAGTTCCAGCCGTCCAGCAAAACTTCACCGTGAATGAAGCCATTCTCTGTCTTTTCTGTGCCTATACAAAGGGTCTTCAAAAAGTTCATGGAAGGATTGCATTATCTTTTAATTCAGTTTTTCCATTAACTTTTCAAACCTCGTGTTTTAGTAAGCAGCATTGCTGGAGAAGAGTCAGGCAGCAGACAGATTGATAATCACCATCAATTCAAGGTCACAGCTCCTCAACACTACCTGGCATGGTATAATTCTCTAGTCCACCCTCCTACTTGCAAGGACTATTTTAGATTTCATTTTTCTTAAATCTCTGACTTTTTTGTCCTTCATTTTCTTTCCCATTTCACAGTGGGGGGGAAGCCATTAGTGTTAAATTATTTTAATTTTATCAGATTTATATACCTCTAAATTTTAGATATAGACCTATATGTCTCATTTTTCTTTTTGTTGTACTAGAGGTGGTTTCCGTGTCCCTATTCAGGTCTTCCAGTTGTGCTTTGGATCCCTTCTCTGAGCACTCTCTTCCTCCACCCACCAAAAAATACTGTTTTAGGGACCTCGGGTTAGCAATTATTTTTGTCTGTTTTCATCTTTTCCTTTTCTTCTGGCTTCTTTCCATCAATATTTAAACATACTCAGGTCCTTCCCATTTTAACAAAACTCCTTTTATCGTTCAGGCCTCATCTTAACTTTTCAAAATATCCAATAGTGTTGATTACTCACTTCTTTTCGAACACCCCCCACCCCATGCCCGCCTTGACTTCTGTCATCTCTTCAACTCCATTTTCCTACTTTCCCTTCTATTTCTCTAGATATTCTTTGCAGTCATCTTTGTAGATTCTCTATTGCCTTTAAATTTAAATATTGGAGTTACTTAGGGCTTAATCCAAGGCCTTTTCCTCCTCATACTATTGAGTTTTGATAGGTAATCTCACCGATTCCCTTTGATTCTGTTACTGTCTCTATGTAAACAATGCGTAGATTTACCTGTCAGTG